TTATCCACACTAATGACCGGAGCAATCTAGCGAAGATCACAAACTTAGTATTTAAGATGATATTCTTTGGTGTATGTTTTTCGCAAACGATATAGTGTTGATAGATGAAACGCAGGAAGGGGTAAACGCGAAGCTTAACCTTTGGAGAGAAGTGTTGGAATCTAAAGGTCTTCGCCTAAGCCGATCAAAGACAGAATATATGGAGTGCAAGTTCAGTGCAAACGGAGGCCAAAATGAGTTAGGGGTGAGGATCGGAGATCAGGAAATACCAAAGAGCGACCGTTTTCGCTACCTAGGATCTATCTTGCAAAAGAACGGAGAATTTGATGGAGATCTCACCCATAGAATACAAGCTGGATGGATGAAGTGGAAGAGTGCATCCGGCGTGTTGTGTGACTGTCGTAGGCCACTGAAGCTCAAGGGAAAATTTTATAGGACGGCAATAAGGCCGGCAATGCTGTATGGCATAGAATGTTGGGCGGTGAAGCATCAACACGTAGATGTAGTGGAGATGAGGATGCTTCGTTGGATGTGTGGGCACACGAGAAAGGATAAGATTAGGAATGAGGATATCCGAGGTAAAGTAGGAGTAGCCGAAATTGAAGGAAAGAGGAGAGAAAATCGGTTACGGTGGTTTGGACATGTGCAAAGAAGGCCTACTGACGCTCCGGTTCGAAGATGTGACCATGGGACCGAGGTTCAGGGCTGAAGGGGTAGAGGAAGACCTAGGAAAACTTTGGAAGAGACCCTAAGAAAAGACTTAGAGTACTTGGATCTAACGGAGGACATGACACAAAACCGAGCGCAATGGCGTTCTAGGATTCATATAGCCGACCCCACTTAGTGGGAAAAGGCTTTGTTGTTGTTGTTGTTGTTGTTGTATTTTTTTATATATAGTTTTAGTGCTAATCTGCTGCAAACTTAAGCTTCAAGCTTATCATCACCACCGACCTGTAATAACAAATGAAGAAAAAAAAGTCGTTCACAATACATGTTTCTTAAATGTGGGATTCAGTTTCTTTAGAAAAAATTTCATATTCAGTTTATTTTAAGTAAAGTACTTAAAGTAGCTTTGTAATCTCTCTCTCTCTCTCGCCACCAGTTAATATGCCTCCATATGTGTATATACTACATACCTCTATGCGCCTGCGTGTGTCAAGATGGACTAGCTACAGTTGAAGGACTATATATTGAAAGTATTTTAGGTAAAAGTGCCTTGTACGTTCTCTCTTGTCGGACTCACAAGAGCCTGTTTCAAAAACTTAGCCTTTAAAAATAATCAAACCTTTTGAGCTTTCAGCACAGGGTATTACACATGAAGTCAAATTGGTGTATCTGTTTTAAGTTACCGTTTATGTATGCACAAGCCTGCCCACTTCCTGTTGTATGGTTTCTCGGTTAGAAAGATTCTGAGAGCTCATTTCTTTGTTTTAATTGTTTAAATCTGTTATTAAGATGTTCTTTATGTCTCATAATTTTAAAATTGGCATGTATTTTTAAATGTACATAGCTCTATGAAGAGCTTCAAGTTGCACATGAGGAGGCCAAGGTAGCTCGTGATCAACATACTTGGAACGAATCTGTAACAAAAGTTGATGTATGATCTCCTTCTTTTGTGTTAATCTCTTTGACGAGCATTACTATTATTCAAATCTTTTGTAGAGGTCTCACTTGGTGCGATGGCAAGTGCCTTCGCCCATGAGCGGTAGGTCTCGGGTTCGAGACTTGGGAGCAGCCTCTCCATAAATGGGGGTAAGGCTAGCCGACATTCACCTCTCCCAGACCCTGCGTAAAGCGGGAGCCTTGTGCACTGGGTACGACCTTTACTCAAATCTTTTGTGGTGTTCATACTATGGCGTTTGGTTGAATATACATGTTCTCTTTTGAAGTATATGCAGCTAACTTTCAATAGCTTCATCTAGGATGGAAGTTGTGACTTTGTGATCAAGCTTGCAAAGGAGGTCCAAGAATTAATGTTGGAAGTTCGAAGCTCAAAAATAGCCATTGAATGTGCATCTTCAGTTTTGGATGAGGTCTCCAAGAGTTTCTCTGTGCTATTCGATACATTCCTAGTGAGTATTTTTGAAACATCATCTTATAATGACATTTCTTATATTCTAATACTCTCAAAAGAAATAGTTTGTAGATGTCTTAAGATGTTATCTATGAGTTTATATTGATTTAATTTCTGAAGCTGCTGTGGTCTTTATTCCATGAACACTAGAATTCTTTCTGACCATCATATGGCCTGATTTCATTGTAACGCAGGATTTCAAGACTTTAATGTGCGATTTTTCTTTGAAATAAAAAACAATTATCAGTGACCTTGAGAATGAAAAGGTTAGCTCATAACTTTACTTATGTGAGAGATCCTGAAATCTTTTATTTCCGGACCACATTTAAAAACTGTATTAATATTTGGTATGCAGTGCCTTTTATACCATCAATCAGTTGATCTTCCGAACCAGATAGAAGAACTGAAACTGCAGACTCAAAATTCCGAGAACTCTTTCAGGGTAAGCTTTTATGTTGGCATTAATTACGATTTCATTTTTTAAAAGCAATATTCTTACCATTATTAGTATCTTTAGTATCAGTGCTAGTAAGTCTTCTTCTCTGATTATTATTTCAGGAACTTTTGGAACACCAAGATTTGGAAAAGGGAGAATATATTTCTCATATACAAGTTCTTGAAAAAGAAATATCAGGTTTATCATCCTGTTCTTTGGCCAAGGAAAAGGAAAATCTGCACAGAGATGTTGAAAAAACAAGAATGAAGTTGAAAGAGACAGAGTTTAAGCTGAAGAATGCCATACAAGAGAAAACCAAACTAGAGGTTTGATACTATGTGCCTTTGGCTCTGGTCTTGATATCATTAAATCACAGGCTTTCACTTTCAACAACATATTCGCCTATTTGCAGGGTGAGAAAGCATCTGCCGAACGAGAAATAAAATGATTGCACAGTCAGAGGTGGTGCTCATCTCCTCTCTTGTCTATACTCTGAAGAGTTTGCTTGCTAGTCTTCAATATGGTCTCTACCCAAAACTTTGAATTCGAGAGAGAATTGAGTAAATTTGGCCATTACGTTTCACTGTTCTCTCCACCCATAGAATTGACCTTATTGGATTACCCTCAGTTTGATTCTCTCCTGCTGAACTCCTTCGTTGAAGCTTTGGTTGTGGTAACGCAAAAGATATCTTTTTATCTAAATTGCTTGTTTAAACATATCAATTTTCTTTCTCCCATTTGGTTATTAGGAACGATATTTTGACCATATGGTCCAAGTATTCGCAACTATTGTGATTGGTCTCTTCTTGTTGCAGATGCATATAACTGTGATATAGAATGTTCAAAACCCGCATTATTTCTTACTTGATTATTGGTTGTGATGATTATGTTAAACTGTTAGGTGAGGAATGAGTTGGAGTCTTGTAGACAAGAATGCAAGTTCCTTATGGAAAGATTAACTTGTTGCGAGGAAACAGCTGGGCAGAAGACATTCAGGTTTGTTTCAGTTTTCTTTCCCCCCATTTTTCTCCACTTCACTTGCGTCTTCTTAAATATTATTTGGTCTTGGGTACTTTTGGTGGCAATCTCTCTCTCTCCCTCTCTCTCCCTCTCTAAACGTCTAGTGTTTTAGCAGCTCTCAATGCTTGAACTGAACTGCTTGACTGAAGTTTGGTGACAAAATTGTGGCTTTGCCACCGTTTCTCACCATCTTGGTCATTGTCTAGTCTTTGTCACAAATGTGTTTTTTTTTTGTCGAAATTTGTCACAAATGTCCATGGTCCTTTTTCAGCAAACCTACTTCAATCCTTGAGCGGTTCAGCAAACTCTTCTTTTTATATTTTTAAGTTTCAGCTCACCCTTCTAAATCTAATAGAAGATAAAGATAGTATACGTCTTCTAATCTATACATTGTGAATTGTATGCCTCAAACGTCTTCTAATCTATACATTGTGAATTGTATGCCTCAACTTTCAGAAACTAGTACACGCACTTTATTATCTGCTGGTTTCTTCTGCTGCTCTGTTGGGGTTGGGTGTTGTTACCTTGATATAGGTTGTTGCCCTATTCCCTTGAAACTCATGTTCCCCTTTAAGGTTTGTTATTCCATTTATCCGGCAGGTTTAGGACAAAGTTTCTGCTTGCCAAAATATTTACGCTCTTCTGTGATTTTCAACCTTCAGAAAATGTTAAAAGGTCCAAAGATGGGATAGATTTGTAATCCGTTTGTCTGGATTCTGGATAGATTTGTAATACGTTTGTTTGGAGTCTGGACAATGTCATATGTTAACATGTAAATATAAAATTACTCTTTCTTTTTTGCTGGATGTATTAGCACGTCTTGAATCTGAATGTCATAGATTTGTAATACTTTTGTCTGGATGTGTTGGGTTTTTTTCCAGCCCATGATTAGTTGTCCCACGTCTATTGGGAATTAATAGTCTAGAGGATAAAATTGTTTTCCCAATTGGAGTTGTTTTTCCAATTGGAGTTGTTTACCCAATTGGAGTTAGTTTCTCAATTGGAGTAGGATTCATAACTAGATTCCAATTAGGATTAATAATCCCTATTGAAGAAGACCTTTATTATGTCTATATAACGGGGCTATTGTACTAGTTTTGAGGAGGGAACAAAACAATAAATTGTATATCTCTCAAGGGATTAGAGTGAGAGAATATTGTAAAGTGTGTGCGAGAGAAAAGAAAAGAGATAGTGTATTTCTTGTTCTTGTTCTTTCAGGTTTTTCGTCAAGTCCTAGTTCTAGAGATTTGGCAAGATTATTGGTTGTATTCATTATTGATATAGTGAAAGATTGTTGTTGCTGTCCCGTGGACGTAGGCACATATTGCTGAACCACATAAATTCTTGGTGTTATTTATCTTGGTTATTTGTTTTTCGATTTCCGGAGTTTGTTCTTGTTTTTTCCCATTTTTAAATGCGACATTCTCAACAAGTGGTATTAGAGCCAGGTTTGGTTGATATCCATTTAGAATGGAGGGTGCAATTATGATGAAACTCACCCGCTCCAACTGGGTTACGTGGAAATCAAGAATGGAGGACATGCTTTATTGTAAAGATCTCCATGAGCCAATTGAAGGTATTAATAGCAAGCCAGAAAATATGTCTGATGCCAATTGGACCAAGATGAATCGTAAAACTATTGGTACGATTAGACAATGGGTGGATGAGAGCATCTATCACCATGTGTCTAAAGAAACTGATGCACAAGCTCTTTGGAAGAAGTTAGAATCCCTCTTTGAGAAGAAGACCGTTGCCAAGAAAGCATTCCTTATCAAAGAGCTTGTCAACATGAAGTATGCAGAAGATGTTAGTGTAACCGAGCACTTGAACAACTTTCAGAACGTGATCAATTAGGTAGCCACTATGGGTTTGAATATTGAAGAAGAGCTGCTAGCACTTTTATTGCTAGGATCCTTGCCAGATAGTTGGGAAACCTTTGTCGTAACTGTAAGCAATTCGGCTTCTAATGGCGTACTATCTATGGATGCTGTTAAGGATAGCATGTTTAAAGAAGAAACAAGGAGAAAAGCTTCAGGTGCAGGTGATGGACAACTCTTTGTCACAGAGAAAAGAGGCAAGATTTCTGGTGAGACGAGATTCAATGGCGACTGCCACTATTGTGGGAAAAAGGGTCACATGAAGAAGCATTGTCGTAAATGGAAAAAGGAACAAAAGGATGGGAACAATATTGCAGGTGTTGTGACTTACGATGAAGAGCTTCTTTAATGCAGATGATTGATGATTTTCTGGCAAAGAAGTCTATAATTGCCTTTGCCAATGACGATGGGTGTTGCGATCAGGGGGAGCCTGGTCAAGAGAAATCTAATCAAGAGGGTCTTGGTTAATGAGTAGTTCGATCAGGGGGCGCTTGGTTATGGGTAATTCGATCAGGGTGAGTCTGGTCATGAAAAGTTCGATCAATGGGAGTTTGGTCAAGAGAAGCAATCCTATTATGGTATACCTTCCTCATGGTCTGGAGGGGGAGATTGTTGGGTTTTTTCCAGCCCATGATTAGTTGTCCTAAGTAGAGGTCGCACTTGGTGCGATGGCAAGTGCCTTCGCCCATGAGCGGTAGGTCTCGGGTTCGAGACTTGGGAGCAGCCTCTCCATAAATGGGGGTAAGGCTAGCCGACATTCACCTCTCCCAGACCCTGCGTAAAGCGGGAGCCTTGTGCACTGGGTACGACCTTTACCTTTATGATTAGTTGTCCTAAGTCTATTGGGAATTAATAGTCTTAGAGGATTAAATTGTTTTCCCAATTGGAGTTGTTTTCCCAATTGGAGTTGTTTTCCCAATTGGAGTTGTTTACCCAATTGGAGTTAGTTTCTCAATTGGAGTAGGATTCATAACTAGATTCCAATTAGGATTAATAATCCCTATTGAAGAAGACCTTTATTATGTCTATATAAAGGGGCTATTGTACTAGTTTTGAGGATGGAGCAAAACAATAAATTGTATACCACTCAAGGGATTAGAGTGTGAGAATATTGTAAAGTGTGTGCGAGAGAAAAGAAAAGAGATAGTGTATTTCTTGTTCTTGTTCTTTTAGGTTTTTCGTCTAGTCCTAGTTCTAGAGATTTGGCAAGATTATTGATTGTACTCATTATTGATATAGTGAAAGATTGTTGTTGCTATCCCGTGGACGTAGGCACATATTGCCGAACCACGTGAATTCTTGGTGTTATTTATTTGGTTATTTGTTTTTCGATTTCCGGAGTTTGTTCTTGTTTTTCCCATTCTTAAACGCGATATTCTCAACATGATGTATTAGAAGACCAACAACAACAAAGCCTTTTCCCACTAAGTGGGGTCGCTATATGAATCCTAGAACGCCATTGCGCTCGGTTTTGTGTTATGTCCTCCGTTAGATCCAAGTATGCTAAGTCTTTTCTTAGAGTCTCTTCCAAAGTTTTCCTAGGTCTTCCTCTACCCCTTCGGCCCTGGACCTCTGTCCCGTAGTCACATCTTCTAACCGGAGCGTCAGTAGGCCTTCTTTGCAAATGTCCAAACCACTGTAACTGATTTTCTTTCATCTTTCCTTCAATTTCGGCTACTTTTACTTTATCTCGGATATCCTCATTCCTAATCTTATCTTTTCTCGTGTGCCCACACATCCAATGAAGCATTCTCATCTCCGCTACACCCATTTTATGTACGTGTTGATGCATCACCGCCCAACATTCCGTGCCATACAACATCGCCGGCCTTATTGCCGTCCTATAAAATTTTCCCTTGAGCTTTAGTGGCATACGGCGGTTATACAACATGACGGATGCACTCTTGCACTTCATCCATCCAGCTTGTATTCTATGGTTGAGGTCTCCATCTAATTCTCCGTTCTTTTTCAAGATAGATCATAGGTAGCGAAAGCGGTCGCCATCTAATTCTCCGTTCTTTTGCAAGATAGATCATAGGTAGCGAAAGCGGTCGCTCTTTGGTACTTTTTGATCTCCGATCCTCACCCTTAACTCATTTGGGCCTCCATTTGCACTGAACTTGCACTCCATGTATTAGAAGCCCAAAACATTATATTTTGTTATGCTTCTGTTGCAGTGTGGAGAAGTCTTTTGGGATTGATCAACTGAATAATGACGATAATACATATCATTTTCTGAGCAAACAGTCCCAAGAGTGAGTTATTTGTTTTATCTCAAAATATTGTTTGGTTAATACACATTTATCAGTGTTTGGTATGCACCAGTTTTAATTTCAAACTTGGAGACATGCGGAATTCATGATTGTGAGGAGGTGAATGTGCTTCAGAAGGAGCTTAGATGTCTGAGTAAAGAAAGAGAAGGCTTGTTGATTCGACTAAAAGAGTTACCGGAACTTTCAAATGACAGCCAGGTAATATCTCCGTTTCTGTTCCTTATGAATCACTACATAATGTTCAGGAAAAAAAGTATAGTAGTAGCAAGGGAGAACTATAATATATTCTTGAAAATTTATTCAGTTTGTTTGATTCATTGGTTTTTGTCTGCAGAGTCTCAACAACCAGCTCCGTGTTGTGACAGTGGAAAGGGATAAACTAGTGACTCAGATCCAAGAGCAGCAGAAACTTGCAATTGAAGAAGAGTCTCAATAAACATTACAATGCCTTGGTAGGTGACTGAATGTTCTTTTTTCTCATCGGCACCTAATTGTTTGAGAGCCGTCCCATATAATGATGAACTTAATAGCAGTTGTTAGAGGCAAAGTTTCAAGTTCTCATATTTGTAGTCATAAACATAAACAAAAGTTTACATCTGCAGTTTCAACAATTGGGTCTGGTTAACGGTTTAGATATTAAAATCCATTCACTCCAAATGATGTCAAGAAATCTCTTTTTTCGTGGTCCCTGTGGTGAGAATCGTGAGATCCCAATTTTAAGGCGACTCTGTGATGAAAGGGTTGTTAATTAAACACCTGTGGTGAACCTTGTTAACAATTAAGGTCCAAATCAAAATTCTGTTAGTCTTCCGTTGGTAAAGGGGTTAAAATCATCGTTTTCAAACAAATAAGTTCATATGATGTACGAGTTGGGGATGGTTGTTCGTATACTAGAGAGTCCGAGGACTTCAAGTTTGACGGCAGTTGGGATTAATCACATATCTGTACCAGTTGCAAGTTCATATGCTTCCTTCTTCAAACCTAATTTACAGCAGCATTATTCACATGTGTAGAGATATGGAAAGACCCCAGCATCTACTCGTTCCTAAAGTAAATGGCATGCTTGATCTAACCTCCGCTGAATGGTGAATCCCTTTGATAATGGCAGCATGTACTAATTGTCGTGTATAATGTAGCCAAATAACATCATCCCAAAACCTCTTACTCTGTTGACTCTCTTCTATTTGATCATACTCTTGTGCATAAACTTGTCAACCATCTTGTGGTTGTATCTTTAAACCTTCTTCAATATTCCTCATCTTTGCAAAACCCATTGCCAACCATGATTAGGGTGCTCGTTTGGAAGCGCTGTTAAAATGACTGAAAGTGATTTTGCGAAAATGTTTTTGGGTTCCAAAAGCACTACAATAGATTTTCCAAGTTTCACTTGCATTTTTATTAAGGATTGGTCTCAAACATTTTTCCCAAAACCACTTTAAATGATCAGGGCTCAAGCCTCACAATTTGTGAAATTCTAATTTCAAAAATTAGCAAGTCGCGAATTCTATAGCCAGCCCATGACCTACTCGAACTCTTATGCTTGAGGCTTCTGAGTTGCATCATCGTTTGAATTGATGATTTTAAACCCCATTTTTAACAGAAGATGAACAGAATTTTGATTTGGACCTTAATACCTAACGACGTTTACCACAAATTTTCATTATGGCCATATTAAAAGTGCGGTCTCAACACAGGGATTGTAAAAAATATGTAACCTTAAATTAAAAAAAAATAAAAATGTAGTAGTAATTTTTCATGTGGAGTTGTCAAAAGAGAATTGTTATTGACACTCCAAAAATCCCATCTTGCACTCCAAACTTCGTATAATTAGAAAGAAAAATGCATTTGTGAGGAGCGTAAAATGAGATTCTTAGAGTGTTAATAACAGTTCTCTTATCGAAAACCGTCATCAGAAGTTGTTTCCTTTCAAGAAAAGAAGTAATATTATCTTTCTTTGATGAGTCCTTAATTTGGCCTACTGTACTTTGAACAGGATCAAGTCGAAAACAGCGCAGACAAGGCAAAGCTTCGAATCAGGCTTCGAGGGGCACAGGCAAAGTTAGATGCCTTCAGAAGTAGATGCAAGGACTCTTTGGACGAGTCCGACCACATGAACAGGAAGTATGAGGAGGCTACTGTCAAGCTAAAGGACCTGTTAGCTTCAAAAATTGTTGAGGTCCTCAGCCTTAAGAAGCAGCTTTCTGCTGCAAAGGGGTCTCAAGAACAAAAATAAATCCATAGAAAATTTCATATGGGTTGCTAATTATATTAGATTTATCATTAATCAGTGCCTCTTGTGCTTTTTAAAGAATTTCTAGTTACTGTTGATGAATGTAGTATGGTGCCAACTATGGCTCTCAAAGTACATATCATGATAATTAGTGTCTAGTGCAAAATTATGAAATGAGTAGACATGGCGATGGTGTCGTGTTTGTGTCGTTTTTGTGATATATTCGATATTTTAATGGATCGTGTCTTGTCAAAGTTGTTAATATAAACGGGTAATATAATCTAGCTCAAACTCTACCCGTTAAATTAATGGGTAATATGACCTGTTTTCTGTTAAAGAAAATATATTTACTTCAACAAATAATCAAATAAAAACGTCATACTAAATTAGTATCTACAAGCCACATTGTCACATAAATATTACTTCAAAATATAAAATACATTTTCCTTTTAAGTATTATATATTTCAAAATAA